AGTTGTGTTTGCGGGGGTTGAGCTCTGCTCTTTCGGCCCGCCTCTCAACTGTCAACCAACTGTTACTAACTACTAACTATTTTTTTCAAAACACACACACACACACACACACACACACACACACACACGCACGCACGCACGCACGCACACACACACACACACACACACACACACACACACACACACACATGAACTATTCAACACTGGAGGGACGCGAACAAGGGGACACAGGTGGAAGCTGAGTACCCAAATGAGCCACAGAGACATTAGAAAGAACTTTTTCAGTGTCAGAGTAGTTAGTAAATGGAATGCATTAGTAAGTGATGTGGTGGAGGCTGACTCCATACACAGTTTCAAGTGTAGATATGATAGAGCCCAGTCAAGTGTAGATATGATAGAGCCCAGTCAAGTGTAGATATGATAGAGCCCAATCAACAGGTGCTCAGGAATCTGTACACCTGTTGATTGACAGTTGAGAGGCGGGAGCAAAGAGCCAAAGCTCAACCCCCACAAGCACAATTAGGTGAGTACAATTATGTGAGTACACACACTTCCCAGGAAGCAGCCCGTGACAGCTGGCTAACTCCCAGGTACCTATTTACTGCTAGGTAACAGAGGCATCAGGATGAAAGAAACTTTGCCTATTTATTTCTGCCTGGTCCGGAAATCGATCCCGGACCCCTGGAATTACGAGTCCCAAGTGCTGTCCATTCAGCCACGGCCCCTGTGTGTGTGTGTGTGTGTGTGTTGGTGTGTGCGTGCGCATGTGTGTGTGTGTGTGTGTGTGGCAGCTGAGCAAAGCTTGCTCTCTCTTTTTTTCAAGAAGGTGAGAGTGCTTGCAACATGTCTTGCGTGTATCTCAACACACGTGCCTGTCAATCAGTGATCAATCAGTGATGTGTAACATTCACATATACACATTCAGATCCTTGTGTACACGTTTTAATGTTCTCTTCAATTCAAGGGTATTTTTTCGTTGGTGGGGCGGGAAGGGGTTTTGGTCTGAACATTATCTGGGAATTATGTATTGTGGAGATTGGTTTCTATCGAGCAGACCCAAGCTCTTGGGCTACGATCTGTTGGGGGGGGAGGGGTCTGTGACACGGGAAGGAGGTGGGGGTGGGGGTGCATCTTGGAGCGGGGGAGGGGGTGGGAGATGGGGTTCTGGTGTTATAAGACCATTAACCAGCTTGGTGGGTCTGGGTGGAGCCGGGTGGAGCCGGGTGGGGCCGGGTGGGGCCGGGTGGGGCCGGGTGGAGCAACGGTGCTGCCAGAGCTTTAAAATTAGAAGCCAGACATACCACTAACTGTTCAGTGTGGGAAATATGCTCAATATTCATTATTTTCTCTCTCACTTTTATTTTTTGTTAACTAAGACTAGGGTTCATAAGAGCTGTCAAATGATGTACCTAGTGAAACTGCAAGCAAGAGCTGTTATCCTACTTCAGCTCATCTGAGGCCTGCTCTTAGAGACTCATTTATTTCATGAGAATTATACTTTACAACTATCCCATAGGGAACTATCATATACGGAACCCGGTGAAACTGCAAGCAAGAGCTGTAATCCTACCTCTTCTCAGTTGAAACCTACTCCTAGAGGCCCATATATTTCATGGGCCTGTTTTATGCATCAATAGGAATAAACTTTATTCAGTAACAACATTAGGTAACAATCATATAAGGA